CATAGCATAGGCAGCCACACTGTAAGTCTTATTTTAGCAGCAGTGCTCATTCTTGGCTGCAGAATCACTGCTGGCACCTGCACACTCTAAAGCAATACGCATGAATGATCAGAGAGGTATGCCCCAGCAGCAGCACACAATATCAAAGGGTACAAGGACAAACACACCTAAAGATTACATACTGGAAGCTAAAGGAGACTACTTAGAGGAGGAGAAAAGAGGACTAAGCAGGGAGAAGATTGGGGGGAAAAAAAAAAAAAAACCCACAAGAAAAGCTAAGAACGTAAAGATTCAGATTTCAGGCAGGAAATTATTCGTAACTTACTGCATACAGCACTTACACTTGGAAATCTACAGCAGTCTGAGGTTTGAATTCAAAGCACAGAGTTCTGTAGCTTTCAACAGCCTTTCTTCCCACACATTTAAAAAGCCTCCTGTACGAAACTCACAGAAACAGCAGGGGAGAGCCTTCTGCCATTACAGCTCTACCCAAGAACCAACTCATCCATAGCACACCACTCCTAGGAGCCAAATTACACATCAGAACACCCACTCTTCCACTAGGAACGTCTGGAAGTTATGAAGTCTTATATTTTTATTGACAGCCTTGCTATGAAGTTTTCTTTGAAAATGAGCAATCAACATAATCATAAGAGGAATCCATCAAAGCAACTTCCATTTAGCTTAGGTACTAATTACAACCCACGATGCTCCTCACCTTAACAGAGCACCTCTCAAACACGCCATCTGACCACCCACATATGTTCTTCATGGACATATGCACCAAAATCAGAAGGCAGGAGTCAGTAAATTTCCTAGGAGCACAACAGAGGTGCTGGCAGAGTAGAAACAGATTTGAAGGTATATTTGGTTCAGATAGCAATGAGTAAATACAGCAGACAGTGACCCCACGTTCTCATTCCTTCCCTACTCACCACAGGTATTGCAACCCTCAGGGTCTCAGCCTTGTGTACTTTGAGCCTGCTCCTATGCCAAAGTTCTTAGTCAGCCTCATTTACCTGGATGTACATTACTACTGATCAGCATGACCTCTACTATGCTCCGCAGTAACATGCTAAGGGAAAACTACGTAACGAAGTCAAAACGAAAGGGTGAGAGGAGAGAAGAGAAAAGCAGAGTAAAGATGACTTATACCTTCTGTAGCTTGTCTCAGCAAGTCAGCAGAAAAGGAGAAAAATCTCCTTTTTGTTACATCAATGCTCAAAGCAATATTCACAACACCAACATACTGCCCACATCTTCCCATTTGCTCCCTCTGCACTGCAAGTTGTGCCCTTGAGCTGCAGCACACTTTCAGAGAGGCAGCCAAAAAGGATGTAAGGAACATCTAAAATGCAGTTACTGAGGAAAGAAGAGGGGAAAAGAAAGAAATTAATAACTTGGCATAGCACAAAACTGAATCACAGAAACACCAAGGTTGGAAAAGACCTACAAGACCATCCAGTCCAATCTATCACCAATAGTTCTCACTAAATCATGTCCCTCAACACAAAATCCAAGCGTTCCTGAACACCTCCAAGGTCAGTGACTCCACCACCTCCCTGGGCAGCCCATTCCAGTGCCTGACCACTCTTTCAGAAAAGTAAGCATGTGGGAAACAAAAGTGAGCCTTTGGTTCCAGGGAGCCAGTCCTCCCTCATTTCATTGGAACAGAACACAGATTGATCAGGGGTGCTGAAGTCTATCTTGAAGCTACAGATGCAAATACACGATCCCTCCCTGGAGGGAACTCGTGGCTTACAGAGTATCAGCCAGAACCAGCCCCATCAGATGAAGGGGTACTTCTGCAGATAGAGCCCACCTAAAAACACCGCTGGCTTTCCAGGTCCTACCTCATTCCCATCCCCTCAAACTCCTGGCAGTAAGATATACCCCCCCTCAACTGTCCTGTCTTTCTCAAATACACATCTGTTTAAACTCATCCTCCAGCTTAACCCTCTGCCACAACATAGCTGTAGCCCAATAATAACTTTTGCCCCTGCTAACAGAAGTTCAGAAGCTTTTGTGCTGCATCTGCAAAGTCTTAGGACTGAAGTTTGTCAGGCTTACTTTGGCTGAGCTTCTCTTGGCCTGCCTTTAACTGTTACTTGATTTAGCTGTGACAGCAATTTCTCTAAGTGACCAGGTATCTATTCGTAACTGGGCTTCACTTCTGTTTACCCTGGCACACTGCAATCACGGTTTCATGTAGACAGCAGTAACAAGCAGTTAAAGAATGAGGGATTTACAGCTCTAACACAGTGTTGCAGAGCAGAAAAATATAGGCCTGGTATGAAAGAAGAGGCACTGGGAAGCGGAGATGCAGGATGCTGCAGAGAAAAGGACAGTCATGGGATGGACACTAACAGATGGCACATACAGAGCATCTCAAGTCAATCCTAAAAAAAAAAAATAATAATAAATATGAAACCATCAACACCAATGATTACACTACTCCTCACAAAGAATTTCTAATGCTGACTACTCACTATAAAAGCTCACTATCCTCAGGATGAAACCACTAACTTGCAGCAGCAGTGAGATAGTAAGCCCGCTCACTTACAATCAGATCTGGATAAACAGTCATTAGGTTTAAGATTTCAACTATTCTAACAATAAAGTTCTGGCTTCTCACTGAAGGTACGCTTCGTTCCTTCAGCCTCAAATGAGAACAAGACACCTGATAGGCACTATGACTCTCCAGTTCCCCTCCAGAACCTCCCACCACCACCATCACCATGGCTAAAAGGACTCAGGACAGCAGCACCTCAGCACCCAAAGATTTCTGCATGATTCTGACATCTAACACACCAGGTACAGAGAGCACTGGATCTGCCTTCCTGAAGAGCATAAATCTCCAACCCCTCCTTCTTCCTCCTCAAGTGACACTTGACTCATTCTCTTGCCAGAGCTGCTCCTGGGACACACCTGTGAAATACAGCCCAAGAAACAAGCTGTAATAGCAGACAGTACAAACCAGCATGCATAATATGGCAAAAGACACAAGAGAAAAATAGTTAGCCAAGATCAATCTTTGCTAACAAAACACTTATTATCCAAAAAGTACCAGAAAACATAAAGTGATTTAAGACCTAGATTAATAAATCATAGAATAGTGGAATTAAAGAAAAAGGAGATAAGAGTACAGATTATTAACGTAAAAACCAAGCACACATATTAGAACCAGAAAAAATGACAGTCTGTGAGATAGTTTTCATGGTGGTACTTCCACGAAAAGGCGCATTTAATGGCTCAAGAAGAATATACGAAATGGTCAGCCTGGGTAAGGAAAAGACCTGCACAGTTTCAAGTTCACGCACACTTTAAGGTTTACAGAATAGGTTGAAAAGGACCACAATGATCATTCAGTTTCAACCCCCCTGCTATGTGCAGGGTGGCCAACCACCAGACCAGGCTGCCCAGAGCCACATCCAGTCTGGCCTTGAATGCCACCAAGGATGGGGCATCCACAGCCTCCTTGGGCAACCTGTTCCAGTGTGTCATCACTCTCTGAGTGAAAAACTTCCTCCTAATATCTAACCTAAACCTCCCCTGTCTCAGTTTAAAACCATTCCCCCTTGTCCTATCGCTACCCATCTGTGTATAGAAAATAGCTTTCATTTAACTCAGTCAGCATTAACAACCAGAAGCACACTGCGAGCCAACTGTAAACGTTTTTATTACTACTTTATAGTGACAAGTAACAGCACACGCTCTCTCCTGCTGAAACACACATATTTGACGTTATTCACTCAGCGCTCCATACGGTTCACGATAACCGCCCTTGCGAGAGCCCCTCAGGGCCGGAGCCCACAGCCGGGGCAATCTCCGCACTGTCCCACACACGGCAGTACCGCACTGAGCCCACTGAGTCCCGCAGCCGGGCCCAGGCGCTATTTTTAGCCGGCGACCGCGAGCCGGCCCGCCGCCACGCGGGGCCGAGAACGGGCCGAAGGAGGCGGCAAGCAGCGCGCCTAGCGCTCCTCAGCGCGGCCCGCCCTGCCTCCGCCGCCCGGGCCCAGCGAGGCCTCGAGCCCCGGCAGGGCCTGACTCAGCGCCGCCGCACCGGCGCTCGCTACTGCTGTCACGCTCCCGGGGAGAGACAGCGCGGCCCGGCCGCCGTTCCCCTACCTGTCCTCGTTCTTGTTCTTCTGCTTCTTGCCCATGGCGGCGACCCCTCGGCTCGTCGCCCGTCTCAGCGCCGTTGAGCCACCCGCACCCGCGCGCAGCCCCGTGCATACGGCGAGCCGCCCGCCCCGCCCCCGCCGCGCCGTCCCGGCCTGCTCCGCGCCGGCACGCCGAGAGCTGCGGCGAGCCCCCCGCCGAGAGCGCCCCCTGCCGGCCGGAGGTCAGAGCGCGGCGGCCTCGCTCCTCCCGCCGTCGGCCCCGTACCGCGGGCGCTCCGAGCGTTATCTCCCCAACCCAGCTGCAGCAGAGCCACGGTCGGAGTTCCAAGAAACAAAAAGAGCACAACGCTTTTTCTTTTTTTTTTTTTAAGGCACACTTTAATATCCCATCAACCGCACCCGCGGATCTTCTCGCGCGCTGTTCACGCGCGGTCTCCTGAGCGGGGCTGCCAAAGCCACGCCTCACGCTCCCGGAGCGCGGAGGCACCGCCTGGGGCCGCCCTCACCTCACGGCAACGGTCGCGCGGGCCAAAACAAGCGGCTCCCGGTCGTGACGCTCCCGCCGCGCTCCACACGCCTCGCCCCGTGCGGGAGACCCCCGGAAGGCGCACGGCCGGTCCCTCAGCTCCCCCCGCAGCCATTACACCGCCCAGTAACGGCCACCGCGGGGATCGCGCCAACTACCCCCCACCGCCGCCGCCGCCACCCTCGCAGGCACGGCGCACGCGCGTTGGTCGCCGTCGCTTCCGTGTCCGCCTTCCTGACCAATGAGCGTGCGAAAAGGCAGTTTGCCCCGCCCCCACCGTGACCCGTTCTGGCTCTCGCGAGACTTTGCCAGAGCGTGACGAGGTGGGGTGGGAGCGAGGTGAGGGGAGTGGCGTCGGCGGAACGGGTGAGTGTCGGTGGTGTTATTTGCGGGCTGTGGGGATGTGGCGGCTCCGGGGCGGGTGAGGTCGCTCTCGGGGCGGTCACTGAGCTCATCGGGAGCTAGGGTGGCTGTGCGGGCAGCCCCTGTTTGTGACGGCGGCCGCGCCCCTAGGCAGGTGGGTGGGCAGTAGCTGTTGGTAGCGGCTACGCCGGTGCCAGCGGCTCCCGGCCCTGCGGAGCTGTAGCTTTATCTGGGCGGTCTTCTGCGGTGCTGCTTCTGCCGCGGGAACGCTCGTTGGGGGCTGGTAGGGAGCGGAAGGGCTGACTAACTGCCTTCCTGTTTCTTCGGAGGCCGAAGCAGTGGCGTTCCAACGGCACGGGGCTCGGCTCCGCCCATATCCTGAAGATCTCTCTCTCTTTGACCTGTGTCGGTGAGCTCCTTACCACCCCTCGAGGTGCATACGGGAGATAAAGAATAAACGCTCTGCCCGTGCTGTGTTTACATCGTGGCAGTCGTGCAACAGTGCTGATGGTGCATCAAACTTGGAGTACTGCCACGATGTTGGTGCTTTGCCCATCGCTGCTTCAAATGCGTTCTTGCTTCTATGTGCAAAGTGTTCTGGAAGCCGATGGCGCTGGTACGCTGGCTGTGGGAAATCATAGAATGGCCTGTGGTTAAAAAGGACCACAGTGATCATCTAGTTTCAACTCCCCTGCTATGTGCATGGTCTCCAACCACCAAACCATGGAATGTACACTTAGCACCAAATCATCTCTTGCACTTAAAGAATCCAATTTCAGTGACTTTGTTTTGTCCTTCTGTTTCTCTTTTAAAACTGCCAGTCGTTACGCAACAAAAAACTGTTGCTGTAAGGTGGAAGTTTTTCAAGGAGAACAATCAGTTGGATTCCCCCACCTCTTGATGTAGTCTGGTCTCAATTCTTTCTGCTTTTTGAAATGTTAGGAAAGGAGAAATCTTATAGAAGATAATTTTAGCTGTGTTTCTTCATTGCAACAATTAAGTAGTGAATGCTGAGGTTTCTTAAATCCTTTCCCTCTCTGCCAGAAGGTGATGCTTGCAATAATAGTTAATCTGTATTAATTGAAGCAGTGCACTGACCTAAAGCAATTGCAGTTGAGTGCTTCGCTTTTGGCTGCAAGGGGAGCAATGTTAATTCAGGTTTAAATATGTTAACATGCATCAAGTAGTTAGAGTAATTGTGTTTAGACTACTGAAAGCTTACACAGAGCTCTGCTTAGGTTTATTCTGAGACCTCTGGGCAGCCTGGTCTGGTGGTTGGCGACCCTGTACATAGCAGGGGACTTGAAAATCTATGATCATTGTGGTCCTTCTCAACCCAGGTCATTCTATGATCTTATATGTCCCCCCAGCATTTCTGATTGCATCTTCTAGTTTCAGAATCTTAATTAAAGGCATGTGGATCTGGTTCAGGATGACTGTTCCCTTGGAACTGATTCATTTTACTACTTTATACTGAGTAGTAATTTTGTGTTCCTGTGTACAGTCAAAGGTGCCCGGATCTGTATGCCAATAATAGGACTTGACTGGAATCTTTGTTGCTGTGTTCATTGTTGCTATGTAGAAAATAACTGTGTACAGTACCTTTAAACACAGTAACATTTTGTTTCTGTAGGATGTAAACTGCAAGCCAGAGAGATAAGGCTTTTAATTGGAAGTGCTCACACCAGATATCACTGTTTCCACAGCTCTGAGGAGATCACTTTAAGTATAAAGATGGCTGCTGATACATCTGTTGAAATACTTCAGAAAGTTCTTGAGAATGAAATACTTCAGACTGCCAAGGTAGTGGAAGAACATCTGGATGCTGAAATGCAGAAGCTCGACCAAATGGATGAAGATGAGTTGGAACGCCTGAAACAGAGGAGACTTGAAGCACTGAAAAAGGCCCAGCAGCAGAAACAAGTAATTCTTATACTAACATAGGTTTTGATTCATACGGTGTAACAGGCTTTTTGGAAATCCTAGAAAAATTGTATGGGTGAACTAAATGCATTTTTTTTTTTCTCTCAGTTTCCTGTATTTAGTAATTTTAAATTATGTAGAAAAGCAAGCATCTGTCCACGCATTGTGTGATTTGTGATATTCAAAGTCAGAAAAAAATCTCTGTGATTGTCTTACAGGAAGAGTGGGATAAGGAGTTTAGTACAAAGATCTCAGTGTGTCATTACTCAGTGAATGTTGCTGTATGAAAGCTAAGCCTTGCAGACAACTTAACCACGAGCCTTTGAGGTTCCTTGTGTTTCCAGATGCTGGAGAAGTTTAATTAGGGAATGTGAGTGGTGCTTGCTCTTTTCTAAGGCATTTTGTAGAAGACTGATGTAGAGTCTGTCCTTGTTCTGAGGTGAAATTTGTTGTCATGCTTCTTCTAATCCAATGAAACACTGGCTGTGTATGACTTTTCATTTCTTCTTGCAGGAAGAAATTCTGCTTTGTTTCCTAGCATCTCTTGCTAAACTGTGGTCTTCATGCTCCCCTGGAAGTTCTTCCTGAAAACACAAAGTTTTAGTAATATATGCTCTGAGGTGATCACCTCAAGTGCAGGCATGTTCTGAAGCAGCATGCAGAGTGGGGATTAAGTGTGTGAAGGGGGTCTTGAAATTGAGGAGACCCCAAGGTGAGGAGAGAGATGCCAGGATCCTCTAGCCATCGTTAGAGCAGCTGAGGATGTGTAGGCAGTGTTGGGAACAACACCTTGGTCCCTGATAACTCACAAAAGCAGGGCTCCAGTTCTGTCCCCACCCTTCACAGCCAAAAAGATCTAAAGCTCTTACAGCTATAGACACTATACTGGCAGCCTGCAGTGGGCATCAAAAAGAAACGCAGCCAAACACGTGCAGTCCAGGAGGTTCCTGTAAAGTGTTGCTGGTAGCTTTCTGACACAGGTGGTGGTTAAGCCAACAAGATATGTGTTGCTGGACCTTCTGCTTACAAAGAAGGTTTGGTTGGGGATGTGAAGGCTGGAGATGACCTTAGCTGCAGTGATCGTAAGGTAGTAGAGTTCAGGATCTTGTGTGAAAGAAGCAGGGCAGCGGGTAGAATTGCAACCCTGGACTTCAGTAGTGCCCACTGATAGAACAAGAGGCACAAACTGGAACATTGGAAGTTCCATGTGAACATAAGGAAAAGCACCTTCACTTTGGGGGTGACAGAGCTCTGAAAAAAAGCTGTCCTAAGGGGTTGAGGTGTCTCCTTCTCTGGAGATATTCAAAGGATATCCTGGACACTTTCCTCTGTAGTCAAACCTGCTTTAGTAGAGGGTTGGATTTATGATCTCCAGAGGTATCTTCCAACTCCTATATTTCTGTAACATGTGGTCTGAGACCTGAATTCTAAATAGGTTTCTTAACTTATTCTTAAAGCAAATCTGAAGAAAGAAATAGACTGGAGCAGGATAAGGGTGACTGGGTTGAGAGGAGATCCTTTGGCTGTGGTGGCTCGTGCCATGTTTTGAATTGGAAATGCAGTAAAATGTGGAATGGTTGGGATTCTGGACAAGAGGCAGTGTTAATGGCTTTGATTCTCCACACGTGGAAGCAGAAAAAGTGTTATGCTATTTGCTTATCGTTAACAGTTATATTTTTTTTTCTTCAAAGTCATGACACTTGGGCACTCTTAGATATGGACATATGGAAGTTCACGTGCTCAAATGTACTCCTATCAGTTGATCTTCTGTCACTGTTATCTCTTTTGAAGTGCAATTTTGAAGTAGTTTACTATTGAGTAAAAAGTAAGATGCCTCATGCTATTCTGGAAAAATAAGTCATCGTGATAATTTCTTTATATGACTATACTTGCTGGTTGTTGGCTGTCTGGGTTTTGTTGTTTCAGTTGTTTTTTTGTTATAGAACCATAGAATGGTTTAGGTTGGAAGGAACCTTTGAAGTCCAAGCACCTTGCTATGGGCAGAGACAACTCTCAGTAAATCAGGCTGCCCAAACACCTATCCAGCCTTACCTTGCCCACTTCCCAGAGTGGGCCATCTGGGCAGCCTGTACCACTGCCTCGCCATTCTCACTGTGAAGAGTTTCTTATAAATGCACTATAATTAATTTTCAGAAGCTGGTTGGTTTTTTTGTTTGTTTTTTATTGTGCAAAAGCAGTCTGGAGTGGACCAAGCTGTACACTTACAGTTTTCAATTTGGAGAATTTCTGCTTTGAGCTAGTCTGATCTCACTGAGAGGCTGCCCTGCAGAAATCTCTGCAATTCAGAACAAGACTTCTGTTTACAAATATGTGAGGTATCTTACAGCTCAACCACCTGCCTTCTACCTATTCCTGTATGAAATGGGCTTCCACTGAAGTCCCTTCTATTTTTTTGTTTGTTGTTTTTGGTTCTTAAGAGCCGTCCTGCTGGCACAGCAGATGCAGGGCTAACTAAATCTATACTAATTACTTCCTTTTGTTTTCCCTAAGGAGTGGCTTTCTAAAGGACATGGAGAGTACAGAGAAATCCCAAGTGAGAGAGACTTTTTCCAAGAAGTCAAAGAAAGTAAAAATGTGGTTTGCCACTTCTACAGAGATACAACTTTCAGGTATAGTAAGTAACTGATGTTCAAGAAACCTTCTCTTTGTATTTGTTTATAAAAGCAGTTTTTAAAATCTCATAAGTAAATTCAGATTTTTAGAAGTATGAAAATACTGTGATTTTCCAATTCTTACTTTCTTCCCCAAAATCACGTGTTGTTTTCCAAGTGAGGTGAATGTGATTTGGCATTTATATTGTAATCAATTATGCAAGTTTCTTGAATGATGTGAGACAGCACTGTGGGTCATTGTTGATTTTGTTTGAGGGAGCCAGCTCTCTACATTTAGTGACCACATAAGACTAGCAACTTCTGATAGATCACTATCATTATTCCAGATGGAGATATTCTGGGAAGTTCTGACAGACAAAATCAGAATATAAACATGAACCCCTGTAGGCATCTTTAGAATTTAAGGTTTTGACTTTTGAAAGGGCTCCTGGATACCAGCTACAGCTGCTTTCTCTTTGGGCCTGTACTGTCATGATTATGTCACTTCTTTAGACTGTGAGAGACCTAGATCTGAGTAAATGTCCTGAATCAGAATGGGAACCTAAAATAAGATCTGCCACTGCTGTGGAGGAATTTCAGAAGTTCTGGGTTGTAAGCTGTTCCTAGATGGTTTATCTCAGTGCCTTCTGTTGAAGTGCAATTGCAGATTGCAGTGCTTATTGAAGGAGGAGCCAGTTGTCCTATCTTTTTCCCCAAGTTGCATTCTGTCTGGTTTATGGAACATAAACTGAAACAGCTTCAATGTAAGAAATAGAAAAGAGGTTAAATCTAGATTATGCAGCTAGGTATTTGCATCTTAAGTTTTCTGAGTAAAATAGAGGTAGTAAAATAGAAAGGGCTCTTCTGAGTTTCTCCTATGACCCCAACCTGCACTGCTGTGTTCAGCTCTGGGGTCCCCTGCACAAGAATGACGTGAAGCTGTTGGAGTAGGTCCAGAGAGGGCTGTAAGGAAAATGAGAGGACAGGAGTAGCTCTGCTGTGAAGACAGGCTGTGAGAATTGGGGTTGTTCAGCCTGGAGAAGAGAAGGCTCTGGAGAGACCTTAGAGCAGCCTTCCAGTACTTGAAGGGGGCCTACAGGAAAGATGCCATGGATGTCCCATTCCTGGAGATGTTTCAGGGCAGGTTAGATGTGGCTTTGGGCATCCTGGACTGGTAAGTGTCCATGCTCATAGCAGAAAGGTTGGAACTGGATGGTCTCTGAGGTCCCTTCTGACCAAAACATTGTTAGTGTCTGAAGCTGTTGGATTCAGCTAGCTTTTACTAAGCAAAACAAAGTTGGAAAAACACCTGTGCAAATAAGTAGATTAAAACAGATGTGGATCTCATTGCTGTTGTTTGAACCAATTTAGTGTGTAGGCTCAGACAGGAAGAGAAACTTTCTTTAAAAGTTCTTTGTGAAACATGTAATGCTGGCAACCAGCTTGAACCTACTGTGTCAGATTTACCGTCCACATTATCAAGTTCTTTTCATCCTTGTCCACTCCAGCTTTTTGATCTTCTCAGCCTTCTCCTTTAGTTAAGGACAGTCACATCAGATTTGTGCAGCTGAGCCAAACCACTCCAAGAAGAAAGTACAGTATGTGAAGATTGCAAGTGACAGTTCTATATGTCTCTGCCTTCTGAGAAGTATTTTGGGCAGTTCATGTTACTGTCCCTTAGCTGAGAAACGATAATTATATGTTCATTATTATTACTTTGCCACAGAAAAGTGAAACATTTGCCTTTGGCACTAATGAAGGGCTCTGTACAAATATATTTTTCTGTGTACAGTGACTTACTGTGGCTCAGAGTTGGAGGCTGTGACTTTTATGAAGTTAGAAAGTTGATTACTGAGAAGTTTTCTGAGCACACAGACAATGAAACTAAAGAGGAACATGGAGATCAGGAGGAAGTTTTGTCAATAACTGCAGGTCTTCAGAAGTGAAAGAGGTTTTCCTGGTGCATGGGGGATTTGGAGTATAATTAAGAAACAATAGAAATGGATGATGTAATTATGCAATAAAGGTGCTCCAAGGTATTGTTCTGTTGTTAGGTCTGGCATCCCTTTGAACACAGCTTCTCTTGGAACTAAATTCTTAATTTTAAAGGTGATGTCTAAAGAAGCAACGTGATAGAAATAGCTCTTGTTTCAATAACGTATGTGTTTGTCATCTCATTGACAATAATGTTTCATATGTTTTTTTTCTCACAGGTGCCAAATAATGGACAAGCATTTGACTGTATTGGCAAAAAAACATGTTGAGACAAAATTCTTGAAGTTAAATGCAGAAAAATCTCCTTTCTTGTGTGAGAGACTGCGCATCAAAGTAATTCCAACTCTAGCACTAATAAAAGATGGAAAAACACAAGATTATATTGTTGGCTTCACTGATCTTGGTAACACCGATGACTTCACTACAGAGACCTTAGAATGGAGATTAGGCTGTGCAGACATAATTAATTACAGGTAATTAACAGTTTTGTGATTGCTTTTTCTAGATAAAATGCAAGAACATGCTTTGTAACATGTAACATTGACTGATACGTTGTATGATTAAGGCACAAACGAGTTTAAGGTTGCCCAAGGAGGCTGTGGATGCCCCATCCCTGGAGGCATTGAAGGTCAGGCTGGATGTGGCTTTGGGCAGCCTGGTCTGGTGGTTGGCGACCCTGCACATAGCAGGGGGTTGAAACCAGATGATCATTGTGTTCTTTTCAACCCAGGTCATTCTATGTTCTATGGCATGATTTCATCTGTGTACATTAGCAAGGGAAAGCAAGTGCATATCTTTGGCAATGTGTTGAGATCTTATAATGATCATTATGTATTTTTGGTACAGTAATAGAAACAAACACAGTTCTTGCTGTGAGGTATTGTAACACCCTGGATAGCATGAGAATGTCAGTAAGGCAGCAAGATCCCGGGCTGCAGCAACTGAGGATTCACTCAAATGCAACAGCAGCGGGCACAGAAACAAGGGAAAGAAGCTGCTTAATTTCAGAAGGCCTCAGGTATATAGGGGTCTCCAGTGAGACGGCCTTGCCTCCACTGCCAGCCCTTAAATGAGATCTGGGAAGGAGTGGATCTTGGCTGCGCCCCTTGTGGTCACTCAGGCATTGCATGCACCTGAGCTCCCCTGGGCTGGCCCTGCCTTCCCACCAGGTGCTCAATCACTGTGTCATGCTGTGATGTAGCATTTTCACTGCAGGTATATAGAAGAGTTAACCTGGCTGAGTCCTGTGCCTAATGTCATTCTAAATGAGCTCAGGTGTCACAGTTGTAATGCAGTAAAGTTTGAGCATTTTGATTCACTTCAGTGAAAACTCTACAAGCTACATTAATGCTTTTTCTAATACTTTATTGTCTGCAATTTATTTAAATGCCTAATTCCCAAATTATGACAAGAGGTACTATATCTCAAAGGCAAATAAACTCTTATTCACTTTAGCTTATCAGCTGTTGAACTTTGGATGACCAAAATGAAAATTTGTAATTCATAACAAGTGGTAATATCCACTTGCCTGTTCAGTAACAAGAGAATAAACAGAGGACTTAAAGGCAGTGTGGATGTATGTTGTAGACAGCAGCACCCCTTTATGGGAGAAATAATTGAGTGGAGTTGTATCAAGCTGTGCTGAATTTGCTAAATTTTAGTACACTGGCTCACTGCATAATTTTACTTTCTGCTTGACTCATAGTACAGTGTATTCTGCTTCCAGTAGAACATTTTGTTCTTTTTTTTTTCCACACTCTAAGTTTGGTGCTCTGGCTTTGGAAAGCAAGCCACTATATCTGCACAGCCCAGGAGATAATTCCTGGACGTGTTCATTTATAAATGTTTCCACGTAGCTCTGAATGCAGCTTCCCACTCTCTGGAGTTCCTCGTGAGTCTGAAAACAGGCGTTTGGGTTTTTCGTGGGTTTCTTTTTCCTTCAGTGTATGTTGGATGACAGATGGTGAAAGGATGTGCTGTATTTAGGAGGAAAAATGTTCTGGTCACATTGATTTGAGTAAAATCAGGATTCAGATGTCGTATTGACTAATTACTGACATGCAATTAACTAGCAGTCAGTGAACTTTGTATTTAGAGTCGATAGCTCCAACATGTTATTCACAAAGTGTTAACAATGAATTTTCAATCAGCCTTCTGTAGCTAATTCTAAAAAGTTCTAATTGCTCACTCCCTAACACTGACATGCAAACCTCTTGCGGGTCACATGAATTAAAAGCACCTACAGCCTTCTCTGAATGAAGGGAGAGGATTCCCGTCTGCTGTAGAAAATGCAGGAGCCCCAGCTTTATGTGAACACAGATAATAGCTGGATATAGATTCAAGTAGGGAAGATTTAGGTTGGATGTCAGGAGGAAGTTCTTCACAAAGAGAGTGGTGAGGTGCTGGCACAGGTTGCCCAGAGAGGTTGTGGATGCCCCGTCCCTGGGGGTGTTCAAGGCCAGGTTGGATGGAGCCCTGGGCTGCCTGGTTTACTATTAAATGTGGAGGTTGGTGGCCCTGCCTGTTGTGGCAGGGTTGGAGCTTGATGATCCTTGAGGTTCCTTTCCAATCCAAGCCGTTCTCTGATTCAGCAACCTCTGCAGCCACTCACTAGTGAGAAGACTCCCGCAAGGTCATGTGCAGACTAGGGGTGGGTTCTTGCACAGCCTACTAGGCTGTGCTTAGTGTCAAATAAGGATATGCTCTGCTGGCAATTGCGCTGTGCTACTCAGGGTGGCTTTAGGGAGCAGGGATTGTGTTTGCTTGGTGTTTGTGTTTTTTTCTGGAGGGACAGGTAGCTGGAGATGCTATTTTCTGTCTGCATAAATATGACCTTAATCAACACCTTTTTTTTTATTATTATTATTTTAGTGGAAACTTGATGGAGCCACCTTTTCAAAGCCAAAAGAAATTTGGAACAAGCTTTACAAAGTTGGATAAGAAGACCATCAGAGGGAAGAAATATGATTCAGATTCTGATGATGACTAGAACACTAAATCTATTTATAAATCATGTTTTGTTTATGCTTGGTACATTTTTAAGGATGATTTTTATAAATCTTATTGCTTTTCATTACATCTGTGCATAATGCTCACTTTTTCTATACAGTTTTATACAACTGGGTCATATCAGAAGAGAGCCTAAAATATTTTTTTTCTCTCTTTTGGGAGTCATTTGTAACTCAAAAATCAAAGTCCTGACTAAGTCACGTGTTGCCAACAACGAACTTTGTCTAACTGTACATTTATGAAGTGTTGTGAAGTAACTGTTAGGAACAGCTGTATCAAGTCAGACCAAAGGTCCATCTGGCCCTATATCCAGTCTCAGTGGCCAACAGCAGATGCACAAGAAAGAGTAAAAACAGGGTAAGCAGATAGCGATGCCTCTTCAGGAAATAGTCTGAGCAGTTTATGGCTTGGGGAACTCTGTCTGAAAACATTTGTTGGATAAAAAGAAAAAAATCTTGTTAACCATCGTTACATCTTTATAGCTTTCACATCGTTTGGCAAGGAGTCCACAACTTACCTGCGTTGTGTCAAGGACTACTTCCTATTGTTTTCGTTGAATTTAAGTTTTGTTTTTTAATATTCTTCATTAAAGGAGACAAGAAGCAATTTGATTTTTCTCTATCTGTTCATCTTCCAGTTCTCTTCAAACTTACAACTGTTTATTGTCAGTAAAGCACCACAAGTTATTAGTGCAGGAATTGTACATTTTAACAGAGGATTGCTTACCTCGTGGTGCCATGTCACAACATTGCATAACTTAACTACATTGCCCTGTAAGTTGTAAAAAAGGTTTGTATAGTTACATGGTTTTGAATGTGTGGATTTTTTTTAGCAGATGCTTTGTACAAGAGAGTAGGCTAGAGAAAAGAATTCAGGAGAAACCTTGATCTGTTTAGATATAGCTCAGCATTCTGTGTGCTGTTTTTTCAGTAACAGACTGGATTTTCAAGGGAGAGCATCTTTGGAACATGATATAAATTTTCTGGGTAGGTGAAGAGTTGAATGTTTTTCTTTTATTCTCAAAATCATGGTTTGCTGTGTGCTGCAGGATGCTTTCTAAGATGATACTTTGAATTGGCCCAAAAAAGCCAGTGAAGTGGGTCTTGTTAGTTCTTGCTGCCTTGTGGTGGAGAATGCCATTGGGCCAGCCCAGCAATATAACCCTGCAAGTAAGTCTAAACAATAATTATTATATTTTATTTCAGGTCATGTACATTGAAATAAAATTATTTTAATTCTAATGTTGACTTCTGCATTCTTTCCATTAAGATGGTCTAGCTGCTCTGAGTTACTTTCTTTCAGTGGTCTGTCAGTGTTGCACATGCTCTTGCTGGATTTGTAGCAAGCTACTGTCTGTTCTGACATTGACTTCATTTTGAGAAAGTAATCAATCACCTTAAGATGCAGCTGCCTGTTAGTGCATTAGAAGCAGGCTTGCTTCGAGCTGATCTCTCTTTCAGTGCACCAACTCTCTAACTGCACTAGTGTTTTTTTGCATGGAATTGGATTTAGGAGGCAAATGTTTCACAGCATTGTCAAGAGTGCCTTAGCAGGGCTCATCTCTGAGTCTTAATTATGTTGAAGTAGATGTGGAAATATAAAATCCTGTTTAGAATTCCTGTATGTTCCATGGATGTGCATTTAGGTGGTAGCTTCTGTACTTCTGTACTACGTCTAGTAGTCAGGATTCTGGCAGGTAGCTCTGTTAAAGTTTATTAAGTTCTGTGTGTGAATAACTCCATTATGAACACAATACCAATGCTGTGGTTTCATGTCCCTCTAAGCTGCTGATTTATTTTTTTTTCAAGACTAATCTTCAGTTCTACCTGTTCCTTCATTGGCTTGTAGCATGACCTCACACGCTCCAGTGCTGATGCTAAGGGCTGGCAAGGAATGTGCAGTTTGGACAAAAGAGGAGGTTGAGATTGTATTGATTAGTTTATTTTCAAGTAGCAACCACACAGATCTGCCTGCTTCAGATTTTTGTGTCTGCTTTCTCCATTTTCTGCCCTGAATGAAGATTTAAACTGTCACTGCATGGTTATTCTGGTAAGTTTTCCAGTCTTGATCTGCATACTATTTCAAGCAGTCCAAAACCATTAGTTCTTTTCATCTCAAATGTAGAAATTCTTTAAGTTGTGGAAAATTCTTTGCATTTTGGGGAACACATTCTTCATCTGAGGTGAAGCTCAGTAATTCTGTGGTACAGATTATATGGCCAGATGTCCGTGGCAGTCAGATGTGTTTCAGTAAGCTAGAGAGAGAACAACAAAAGAGCACAGTATAACAAAATGTCAACTGCAGAAATTCAGAAAGCACAAAGCTTGATTTTTGTCATCAGTCAACTGGTGGCAATGAAACTGACAGAGAAGATGAGTATATGCAGTACCCAGAAAGCTTGGGTTGTATGTGATTAGTTGCTTTCGGCTGTGACATGATGTGTATAGAAGGACACGATTAACTGGGGCTCCTGAACCTAGACTAATTACCAAATGGCACCTGGTCTGGCATGTGCCAGCCCTGAAGGGATATTGTGGAATAAATAGATGAGAAATGTTCACGTACAGCATTTGAGGCTGTGGGGCTTGTGCATGAACTGAGCATGTAATATTAATAACGATTAGCGATTAAGTGTGGGCTTGATGCTTCCACAAAGTAATCATTAATGCATAGAGAAAATAATGAGGTTGGTACTGTTCAGCTTAATGCTAGATTATTTGGGCTTGACTGTGCACCGATGGCTGATTGATGCCACTGGAAGCTTGGGATGCCCTGGTTGAGAAATCTGCCTACATAAAGTGCTGCTTTGGGATTTGGGAAGTGTGAGGAAGTTCAGTCCTTGAAAGAGATGAGACAAACTCTGAAGTGCATAACAAATCAGCAGCTGCAGTAGGACCCCATTAGTAGCTTGAGTCCCCTGCAGTTGTAATAGGGACTGTTCATGAAGGCAGACACTAAAGATGAACAGATGTTTTCCAGCCCTGTGCTCCAAGTCATCCATTTTGTGTCGTTTTCCTTCTAGAAATTCTAAAATGAAAGCTTCCCTACAGAAATGTCTATAGAAAATGAGCTCTGAATAACAGGTGTATTGAGGACGCTGTTATTTTCTTCCTATGTATACACACTCACCAAATTGATGCAGGAATCATCTGCCTTCTGGGCTCATTGCATACTCATTAGCTGTGTTTCAAACTGTTTCAAAGGGAAGTTGTCAGTGATTGGTTGACCTGCCTGTCTTTTTAGATCAACCGTGTCCAGCAGCCTGAGAGTGGGGGTTATGCTCCCAGGTTTAAGACCCCTGCAAGTCAGAATTGGAGGGTATTTGATGTTATACAGTTATGTTAAATGTTCCGAGGAAGATGTTGCCCTTTGCCCCTTTGTAAAGGATAAATAGGTTCCCACACATCTGAGCAAGTTACTGCTCTGAAGATCTTAAGTTGGATATCAGGAAACGCTTCTGTACAGAAAGGGTTGTGAAGCACTGGAATTGGCTCCCCAGGGAGGTGGGTGAGTCACCATCCCTGGATGTGTTTAAAAACTGGATGTGGTGCTCAGGGACATGATTTAGTGGAGGGTTGTTGGAGTCAGGGTAGTATGGTGAGGTTGTGGTTGGACTTGATGATCTTCAAGGTCTTTTCCAACCTGAGTGATTCTATGATTCTAAAATATATCTAGTTCAAATGTGGTGAATTAATTTCAAATGTATGTACGCTGAGAGATATTAGATGTTTTTTAGATGAAAAGGGGGTGCTGAGAATTGCTTTTAGAGATCCCATGAAACACACTCTGTGGCTACAGTTTCTGGACTAGCTGTTACACTGTTACAGCCCTGGGTTGAGCTGCCTGAAATAAACCCGGACCTGCTGGTTCAAGAGCTATGTAACTGTATAACTCAGCACTGGATTTGTGTTGCTATACTTTGCCTTTCTAAACACAACCTGTACAAACCCTGTGGTAGATTATAACATACAATTCCTTTTAAATATGCTTGCAGATAATTATCTACTTTACAAACAATGTATTGCTAAACATTGGCTTTTCCCAGGATGACACTGTATGAAAATCAGGTGATTGTAACGTATGAAAGCTAATTAATTCCTTTCCTGTTCTTCCTTGCTAATTATTTCTTTTGTTAGTGTGCTGCCCTACAAAAAAGCCTGGAACTCTTTCCTGTTTGGTTTCCAAAATGTTGATGGTCCTCAGTGCTTTGTACCATGAATTCCAGGCACACAGAAAAGCTCTTAATAGTTACCATGATTAATGGGTAAAGTTAATTATTCATAGATGTTAGCCTGACATCCCTGTGAGTCACAAATGTGCAATCTTCCTTTTATATGTGGGAAACTAAAACAAGATTAGCTCTGCTGGAAGACCTGGGAACACCAAGAACTGGGTGCTCCAGTATCTAATGTCAGCCTTTTCCTGGAACTCGTATTTTGAGAGTAGGCTTCTCAGCTTTCTTTTTGGTGTGAGGTGGCCCAGGATAGGATCAGAGGCATCCAGAATGCTGATGAGTGCTGTGAAGTGAGCGACTATGAAACATTCTGCCCAGGTACAACACTTCTCTCTACCCTCACTTCTGAAGCTTTGTGCAAGATAGCATAAGGACTGTGGGACTGGGAAGAAGAAGCAGAAGACAGAAGTGACTTAGGAGATTACGGAATTGGAAGAAGTTTGCATTCTCTTCCCTATTCCCAGTCCAATATTCCCAGTATTTTCCACTGGTTTGTTGGTGTGTGTGTGTATGGTGTTTGTTTTATTTTTTTCCACATATGTAATATAAAACACCAGTGCAGTCTCAGGAACAAGGAGCTGATATGACTATGCCACCTTGGTACTGAAAGACCTTGCTGACAGGCTATAGAGCTGTTCCCCTGTCTTCTCCTTGGCTTCCTCTGCAGCTCTGTTGTGCTCCACCACACAGTAATGCAAGCTTGACAGGCTAAAAAACAAACACACACACATCTTATTGGTGTGGCATTTAAGTGCTTTATGCAAAAGGGAGTCTAATGTGGGTTTTTGCCTTCATGAGGTTATCCTCTAACTAACCTACTCTGGTTTAAACAGAATAGGCATCACAGCCACCTTCTGTGAGTAAATACATGAGTTCAGGTTACAGACTCCCATTTGCCCAGAGATTTTGACACTGGGAGGCAAAGACCAGAGCCCAGTCTTTAGAAGGTAAGGACCAAGCTGCTCTGGCTGGGCTGTTTTAGACTTGTGCAAGAACTGAAGTACAACTCAGTCAAGTAAGTGGAACACAGTTCTGGAACCCGTCAGTGCCAGGCTTTATGAGTTTACACCCTCTCCTGACTTGAACTCTAAATGACCTGTTTTAAGTGATGTGTCTGTGTTTAAGCTGAGATATGAAGTCTCAGCACAGTGAGTTACTTGTTCAACTACCTTTCCTACAGTAATGTTCAAAGTATTTCAGAAAACAGAAGAAAAATACTTGATTTCTTTTCACAATGGCTAGAGAGAAGCTTTGTGCATATTGGGATGTTGTTTCAGTGCTCACCTGCATTTTTCATAAAGGCAATATAAGGGAGGAAACTGTGGCCCTCAACAGCTGTTTGGTTCAGAGCACGGTGAAAATGGAGAGCCTCACATCTAACAGATTTGAAGTCCCTCTCAGCACACTTTAGCTGTTGTTATTTAGAGATGCACTGGACATAGAAAAGAAATTCTACTCTTAAGGTGGCTATACCCCTTCAGAAGTTAAGAGACACAGCTCTACAGTGTTTGCATGAGATGAAAGGTTTGGGACTAAACAAGCCCATGAGGGGAAGTTACAGATGCATCTTTATTTGGTCAATTAGTTCTAGGCATCCCTGTGCATCAGCATGGGCAGTTTCTCTATAAAGCTGTCAGAAAGCTTGTAAATACCCGGTGTTACTTGTAATTACGTCTCAGACAAAAGGAATAGCCTGAGAAATGCATCTGACTGGTGATGTTATGAAACGAGGGCTGAAGTGCGCCAAAGAGACAGTAATTAGTATGGGTATTGTTCCAGGTAGTTTTAGAGAGTGTTCTCACCATCCCATGGAACATGATGATAGAACCCTCAGCTGAAGCAGAGTGGCATGAAAGAGGTAATGTGTTCAAAATGGAGCATCGTTCTGAAAATCACCTCCATTAAATGGGAGGGGGAAAAAAATACAAAAAAAAAAAAGAATTGGTAGATCATATATGGCACAGGAAAGCAAACAGGAAAGTGTAAATCTGTGAGTGGAGAAGAACTAGTGGTATTGAGTCTTGTGCTCTTACGTATGTTGTACGCTTTAGATCTCGGGTGCATCCCTTTCTAAACTAAGTGTAAAGCTGTAGGGTAGCATGTTTGACCACTCTATATTCTCTGTATCTCAGTGTAACTGCAGCTTATTGCTGGAGGCTGGCTGTGAGTGCCAGGAAGCTTACCTGCTTCTTAAACTTAGGTAGATGGAGATACCATACGATAAGTGAACTCCTTCCTTGGCTTTCCATCCTCTCCTATTAATCGCATGCTGGGCTGACTGAAATCCAGCAGAAAGCAAATGCATGCTGACATTTTTTATATCTAAAAACTACAGATCAGCAAAATGCATTTCAAATTATGTGTTTGGGTTGTTGTTATATTTAATGATAATCTTTGTGTTCTTTTTCTTACATATTCATTTAATAATTAATGCATTGCCATGGTTTCATATCCTTTCCTTACCAGTGACAACAAGGGCAAGCAAATCGCTGCCTTTCTAAATAAGTCTCACATTATCATATACATCTAAAAACTTGTGCTTCTAAATAAAATAGCAAGAACAATAAAAATATAAAAGGAGGTACGGTAATGTTGTGAGGGAATGAATACGGTGTTCAGGGGCCTGAGCTCAGTGCATTCCTGTAGACATCTTTATTTAATTCCAACCATTTCTGAAGAACATTTTGGTCACAGGAGAGTTTGGTTGGAGGGCCCTTGAGGACCACCTAGTTTCAACCATTGAATCAGACATGAGATCAGGCTGCCCAGGGCCCTATCTAACCTGGCCTTGAGCATCTCCAGGCTGTTCGCTTTTCTGGGCAATACATGAAGATGCCTTCCAGCTCATCCTCTCTTCAGTATATCAGTAGTGGCATCATAACACAGCTGTGTCCATCCCTTTGGTCAGTCAGAGGTTGAGTTCAGGCTGTTGACATCATTTTCCAAATTACATCTAGTGCTGAGATTCAAAATGGTGCTGTGCTAGTGACAGGTGCAGCTCACTTTCATTAAGCAGTTCACCTGAATTTAACGCTCTGAGAGTACACAGAGCAGGCAAAAAAATCTTGCTACCTAGCATCCTGCAGGTCCTACAGCATAGTGGTGCCCTGGATGAACGTGCTGGCTTAGAGCCCTGCTCCATTCAGCAATGTTAGCATGACCTCATTTCTACAAAGGCTGTTTGCTTTCTGCATTCCACTCTAAGAGAGAGAAGCCAGCAAATTTTGAGAAGATAGAGAAATGTTTAGCAGGAAAAATATCATTCATAATGCTGCTGAGAAAATGACCTCTTATTTGGCCTTATGCAGGAAATCGTGTGAAGATGAAGAGGGATCTAAGCATACAGCAGGAAAGATAGAAATAACTGTGCTTTAAAAAATAGCATCCGCAATTCAATGAGTAAATAAAAAGCAATGCAATGCAATGCAAAGCAGGCATTAATAATTCATGTGACAGTACGTACAATGGGCAGAAAGTCTGTGATTGTGTGGGTAATAAACGAGAGAAAATGCATAACAAAGAGAATCAGTATTTGAAATGAAAATGACCTTAAGGACCATCAGAGAATGACCAACCTATTAAGAAAGAAATCTCTCTCACAGTCAGAGGCTACTTTCCAAAAAAAAAAAGAAATTTCTGAGTCATCAAAATGACTTGAGAGGAACAGTGGTTTATGATCACAAATATGACAGTGTCTTTATAAAGGGCAACTTCATAATAATATACAATTACTTCCACCCATTTGGAAGAACACATCTCTTTCTACTATAGATCATCTTGTTCTACAAAAGACAAATGAATATATCCACCAGTTTTGCTGTCATCAAGCTGTGTGCTCAGGCCATTTCCCAGCTCATTTCTTTGGGCTTTCCCTACCCCCAGCATTTCTTTGGTCACAATTTGCTTCTGAGATCCTTAAAGCCATGCTGTATGTATGATGGCTCCATTTTCTACCTGTTTTTTCCAAAGATAGCACATAGATTAGTGCCTTACGTTATGTCAAACGCTTTAATGATATTAAGTTCTTAATATCTTACTTGAGCTGTAGTAAAAGATTTACAATTTAGTCTAGTCCAAGACTCCATGATAAGACATGGGGTTTGCAGAGGAAGGATGCATGCCTTGCTGTTTTGTTGTCTGTGGAAAGGTTCCTGTTATTTCAATGTTTCACCCCCCAAAAATGAGTGGCTTAGGACTCACCACAACCCAACACAACTTTGTGTAACAGCAGGGCTAGATGTCCCTCTCCTCACTGACACATGGTCTAGGTTTGTGATAGTTGTATTCATAGGTTTTAGGGGGACACGGCCCACTTGATATCCTGAGCTGTAAAGACTCGTAACATCATTTGTTTTTGAACTTAAAAAGTAATATCTGACCGAAATAGTATTTCATACTCAGTCTCAAGCACAAAGGGAACCAATAAATAAATAAACAAATAAATAAACGAATAAATGGATTTGTTGTTTATTAAATGGCGAAAAGAAAGCTGCCTGGAGAAAACCTTGCTTTGTTAGCCTCCACTCCTGCTAGGCAGTCAGGTGAAGAGAAAAAGGAGGGAAAGGAGAGAGACTCCGGCCTCACAGACCCGCATTTTTCAGTCTCCACATGACTCAGTCAGTTTTAGTAGCTTCTACACACAGAAAGTGCCTCAGACACATGGTGCAAATACCCTTCTTTCTCAGCTGCAGCATCCATCTTCCCCAAGTAGAGAAGTCAAACCCTGCCTCTGCTCTCAAAGTCTATTAGCTGCCTGCTCAAATTAGGCTTGCAGTAAGCAATGCAGCAGAGAGATGGTTTTCTTTAATTGTCCTTTATGGAATTCCGATGAAGGCATGACAATCACTAATCTGAAGTCCTTGAGGAAATAAGACAAAAACCCTTGCAGAAATGTGCCCAGGCTGATCTGAGATATAAAGCAAGGAGAACATTATGAGGGATCTGATTTTTGCCTGTCCCCACCACTGATTCATTGAAATGCTTTCTGCAAGTCATTTATGGAGCATCAGTGTAGTCACTGATGGAGGAAAAACAATATTTATTTCCTTTCACAGAAATGTCCCGAGTCTTAGTAACCACTGCTTGTGCAAATCTTTGGATGAAAGGAAACATAAGGGTTCAAAGCTCTTATTATATACTGCTTGTTACACTTTATAACAAATGTCATCACAGTAGGTAGGAATTAACATTCCAAAGCCCAGAGGGTGGATACCTCTTCATTCCCATATATATAAAACTCATTGAGCGACCTTTCTCAAAGCAAGGCCAACTGAAGACGGGTGAGTCTGAATCCACTCAGAGTAGATATTCAGGGGAAGAAGCCTTGATTTTTGCTTTGATTTACTGTTTTGTTATTATTGCAGTTGTTGTGCTGTTTCTACTTAAGGCTTGTGATGATTTCTGTGGTGGGACAGAAAACAAAATGGTTGATAACTTGAAATTTTATATGGCAATTTTCTGCATGTAGGAGCAGCTTCAAATCATAGTGCTAGCTGGGGCCCCATACGGACTTGCCATTGAATTAAGAGTTATTGGGTCAAGCTGTGCTGATCCAATATTCTGTTCTTGCAAAAAGAATCACAGAATCATAGAGCTGTTTGAGTTGGAAGGGACTCTGAGGGGTGATCTAGCCCAGGATTAATAATGAACAGGGACACCTACAGCTAGATCTGGTTGCTCAGAGAAATACTCAGTGTTAGGGCTCAACCTGAGCTCAGGCAGTGGTTTGGCTACCCGAATAAGCTCTCTCAGGGCACTGGAATCTTTCAGATGACGTGGATGGACTGTTTGTGTTCAAACATCCATGCAGTGTAGTTTACAGTAGAAAGAACTATTAGGCTGGAGAAAAGGTCAAGCCTTATTAAAATCAATAAGGCATTTTCAGGTGTTAATAGCATGGCAGGAGAATTGCCTGCAAGGGCTGTGGCATTGTTTTGTACTCAAAACCCTCTCGGGGAAAAAAAAAGCATTTGTAATTTGTAAGACTGCATGGTTTTAACGTGCTCTGCAGCAAGGCAAGTGCAATCGATGCTTTTTTTTTTCCAGTCAATAGCTATTATCTGATGATATTTTGGAATTTTATTGATAAACACAAGAGGCATTTATTACTGAAGTGATTATCTGCCATTATCACACACCTGAATATATGCAGAGGTTTTACTGTATCAGCAGATGACAGGCCAAAACATCCCTGCTGACAATGGCCACCAGCTTAGTGCTTCCCTCTCAATCTGATAATGATGGCATGGTGGTACAAGTGATAGAGGAGATGTCCTTCCAAACCATCTGAATAGGTAGGAAATAAGCAAGTGGGGCTCCCATCTCCTCCCATCACCACACTCTAAAGCCAATGGGTGATGGGAAGGAGCGGGGGAGCTTTTGCCATGCATGCTTTCTTCCAGGGCTGCTGAATATCAGCTCCAACTTCTTCATCCTGTGTTTTCAGGTGTCCTGGGGCAGCTGAGGAGAGCCATCACCATGGTCACTGCACTGCTCTTGCTGGGCCTTTTGGCCCTGTTTGGTGAGCCTGGGCTTGCGTTTGGTGTGCTGTGGAGAGCACCCTGCCACACAGAGTCACAGAAACACCCATCCAGCCTTATCTGACCTCTCTGCCTGCTCAGAATGATCTCACAAACATCACAGGCTGCTTGTTAGATGGAACCTATGAATTTCATGGGTTTTGAGGAAATATATAGGGCGGTTTTCCCAGATTGAGGCATGCACTCTCCTCAGTTAATTCTCCACTGAGCTGCAGAGGGACAGAGGAGGTCTTCTCAGCCAGAGTGCTCAGGTGCCAGCAGCCATCATCTGAGGTGGCCTGGACACTAGGGGACATCGATAAGTAAATACAGAGGCTGTGGTTCCTTTCCCCACAGCAACCTTTACATCTAACAGGGATGACACCTGTCTGTGTAAAATGATATTTAATTTATTTCAATCTGTTTGACCAGAAAGTAACAAATTCCTATTCTTTAGCTGTGATTGATAACATCACTGATAGGCAGCAGTGGCAACAGTCTAAGCACAGTGATAATAAAGTGGTTTGGATCACGGGTCTGGATGAACACCTCATGCCTGTATTCACCTGCAGTAAGCTGTATGATACTGCTGTGAGGTCTAATGTTTCCAAACGCCTCCATTTAATTTTTCAGCTCCATCCATGAGCTACAGTTGCTATGGTGATATCAGTGCTCTTCAAGCACCCACAGTTTCCTGCACAGCCGTAAGAGCCCAGGACTGTGGTAGGTATCAGACACGGCTTGGCTTGTTGGCCTACAGAGAGATGCTGTGTCTCCTGTTGGCATCCTCAGCATCCTCACCAGGCTTCACTTTTGAGGGAGCTGTTGGGTAAGGCTGTCTCTGCCCTGGCTGCAGGCCCTGCTGCTCTGAGGAGGACGGTGGAAGCGGACGTCATCCGCTTGAGGAAATATGAGGTGCCCATTAAGAGAGTGGCCAGAAGGCTTTGCTTGGACCCAGCTCTCATTGCTGCCATCATCTCTCAGGAGAGCCGCGCTGGCCTCCTGTTGAACAACGGCTGGGACCAGGGCCAGCAGCGGTACGGCCTGATGCAGGTACAGCCAGGTGACGTGGGAAGATAATCCTGAGTGGCAGCATGGCAGTGTGCTGGGTGCCTCAGGGCTTCACCTCAGTTAGCAAGCATCCTGCCTTTAGCACTGGGATATGAGGTCCCTATGAATCGCAGCCTGCAGGTGCTGAGAGCATGGTGAAGCTATGAGTGGTGGCTGTGTTCCGAGAAAAACTGGTCTTCTTCTTGACTTTTCCAGATTGACAGGAGGTATTATCAGCCCTTTGGGACGTGGGACAGTGAGGATCACATAAACCAATGTTCGAGCATGCTGGTGGCAGGAATCAACGAAATGAGGGCAAGGCACCCTGCCTGGAGCTGGGACCAGCAGCTGCGAGGTACAGCGTGCGGGAGTGCATGCGGGGGTGATGTGTAGGAACATGTAGAAACAAAGAGGGGAAGTCGTGTTACTGGCACCACCAGTATGTGAACATTCACCAGGGATGTGAACAGTTGAAATCCTTAAACCAGAAATAATTGACAAACAGAACTCTTAGTTTTCCCTGTCAGCAATTTGGTTTGCAATCCATACTGGGATATGTACATCAAGGCAGTTTGTGGTTGTAGGTTTGTGGTTGTTGGTTTTTTTTTCGATTTAAATAACACAAGAAGCTTTCTAACAACACTTAATTAACACCAGGCGAAGAATTTTCATTTGCATGAGGCAGAGGCCTCTAAATGATGAAAGTGCAGCGTGTTTGCTGCTATCACCTCTGAAAGAATAAAAGCATCAGCCTGGCAGACTGTACAGCATTTCAGCATCTCTTGAAAAAATACATAAATAAAAGATCTTCCTCATTTGAAGGAGGCAATCACAAAACAGCAGACCAGCAACAGTACTGTTGGGATAGGCTATAACATTCAGTCAAGGAAGCTTTAGAATCCATGTTTGCATGCCATTTTTTCACTCTATGCCATTTCTTGCTCTCCCATCCTTACTCTCCCGCTGCCACGTTAGACTGCCTTCATAGGATCACTGTGCTGTTCCCACCCTCATTTGGAGAGAACCATGGGTTCCTTAACTACAGAAATAGGGCTTTTGCTAAATGAGTCACTTTTCAGTATTAATGACACAAGTAGCAATTTCCAGTGGTGCTGTATAAGTTCAATGAGACGCGTTGCCTTTCAGGCTAGGAAGTTTTATTTTAAAACCTATATTTCTGATTGATCAGCCCACAACTTCCTCTTGACTGTTTCCAGGGGGAATTTGCACCTACCATGCAAGAGCCGGCAACCTCCAGACGTACGATGAAGACCCCTGCAGCAGAGATAACAACTATGTCAACAGCGTGATCAGGAGGGCCCAATACTTCAAGAGAAATGGGTTCTAGCTCAGTGACCCCCTGCCACCGAGCCTCCACTACATGTAGACTAGCCCAGTAGTGACAGTAGTACCCAGAGCCTCCCAGGGACCTGGCAGGACTGATGTGCCTCACAGGGACAACAGAGCACAATCTGGAGGCCTTTAGAAGTCAGATAGTGACATCCAAGTGATGCTAAAATGTTGGGTGAGGACGCTCCTTGTATCAGGAGCTGAACCTGGGGCTGTTCATGCATCTCCAGGTGGGGATGCAAACAGCTCTCACTCAGCATGGGCTGTGCTGCCCATGTTCTCTCTTACAAACAGGAGGGATAACCCCTTGAGTTTTCTCCCCTTTGATAGTGCTGGCCACTTCCCAATGAAGAGGCTCCTCTCTGAGTCTTCCATCACTCCATACACACCTGTCCCAGGAGCTATGCCACAGCATCAGTGCTGGTAACAACCTCAACATCTTCTCTGCTTTGCCTTTGGAGCATTTGTGCTGGAACCTGCCAAGTTTAAAAGCATTCCAGCTTCTGTCCCTCTGTCCTGCCAGTTTGCCTGACTTCTAATTAGGAGTGGGTAAGCTCTGGGTTTGTAAACTGTTTGAGAGTACTTTTTAATGTGGATGGTTCTGGGTGCAAATTTAGGCTTTCTGGCAATCAAAATAAAGATAAATGTTGAATTCCATTTTTTTATTTGTTTGGCAATGTATTCATCTTTGCTGTTTCACAAGGCATGGTCTGTGGCAACCTGTGACTTAGGTAATTAACCCAATTTGGGACTTTCTGAGAACAGAAAGAGGAAAACGGAGCAGCAGAGCAGCAGTAGGAAGAGCTGGGCTGTGAGACATCAGTCACTCACCTGCTTACCATCCCAGCAAGGACTGTGTGTAAGTGGAATACTTGCAGGCAGTTTTATGTTTACAGTTTCTGGAGGCTATAGGGTTTCTAGAGTTTCTAGAGGGAGCTATAGGACATCTCTAACATTACTGTGTTTTGTTTTGTTTTGCTTTAAGACTCCAGGAAACAGCTCAGTGTTGAGCTATCAGAGGTATTCAACTAGATACAATTTGTCTGTGGTGAACTCTGTGCTGAACTCAGATAATTTTAGTAAAACACCATGTTATAATACAGGCTCGTAAGGCATCACACACAGTTTGATTATCTCTGCTTGAAACAGCTTATGTAAAATGCATAGGTTGAAGTCTTTGCTGTAAACTTCTATCTTATGCAGTCCTCCTACATTATGCACAATGTATGTTAACACTTTTGGTAGAAGACTATAAGCTTTATATGGGCTGGGGGCAGGGAATCTTGTTTCCACATCTGTAGAGTTTTTGAGTTTGGAAGCTTTGCAAACGCAGAGATTTCTTTGGTTCCCTTCACAATGCCCTTCTCTGCTGCCACTAGGATGTGCTGCTATTCCTGTGGATCTCTGAATGCATTGGGAGTCCCATTTCTGCATGTGTTACCTGTAAGGCTGCTGCTCCACATCTTGCTCCCATCAAGGAAATTTTTAGAAGTCCATTTAAAGGTCTCGATTGCAGCAATTCTGTGTTTTATCACAAACGTTATTTTATGGTATCAGCACTTTGTACCGACTACAGAAAATCTCCATGGGAAGTGAATTGAAATACAACTGCCTGATAAGTTGGCAGGAAGGAGTTAAGGAGAATTCAACAGCAGCATATTGCTACCAGGTCTGAGCAGAAGTTTTCTGCCAGTGAGCTGGCACTGTTTTTGACCTCTGATCTTTCCTTGCGTGTTCACATACATTGTATTTGGAATAAACTGTTCAGCTGGCGGGTACAGGGAGCTGTGGGAGCAAATTTGGACACTCCAAATGATTAGAAAAAGCAGGCAGCTTGTAAAGCGAGTTAATAGCATGGAATTTATCATGGAAAGCAGAAGGACAAATCAGGAAAGAGAAAAGATGACCAAGATGGGAAAGAACATCATAGAATCATAGAATCATTTGGGTTGGAAGCAACCCATGAAGGCCATCTAGACCAATTGAATGATGAGCAGTGATATCTACAGCTAGATCAGGTTGCTCAGAGCCCCATCCAGCCTGACCTTGAGTGTGTCCAGGGATGGGCACCCATCATATCTCTGGGCAACCTGTGCTGGTGCTTCACTACCCTTATTGTAAAAAACTTCTTCTATATATCCAATGTAAATCTCTCCTAATTTAGTTTGAAACTATTTCCCCTTGTCCTACCCCAAAAGACCTCGCTAAAGAGTTTGTCTCCTTCTTTCTTATACCCCCCGTTTAGAATTCAGAGACCAAACAGCCTAGTTGCAATGCCTGGAAAGACACCTATTGAACAACCACTGTTCAAGAACCTGGGGGACAACAGTGCATCAAAAAAACAGCCAGGAGGGCTCTGGCAATGTTGTTCTGTAGGGATAAAATGCCTCAAACCAGCCACAACTCTTATCTCACCGGATAGATGGCCAACATAGAATCTGTGGTAGTGCTACACTGCAAGCTTGATAAGGTTTTTATCAGCAATCTCTGAAGTAGTCTCATGTGAAGGCCCTTAAGATAGGAAGAAAAAGTACTGTTTGGAGCAGTTCTTGGCAGCTTATGGTCAAACCAACATGATGCCTCCCATGGAACCACTCCAGACTGTCCTACAGTGCTTTCTATATTGTTCATGGTCATGATGTGAATGGGACCAGAGCTAGGTGACTGCCACAGTGAGAAGGAACATCAACACTTCCACTAACGGTCAAAACCTGCTAGGAATCAAGGAACTGAAATTGAGTAAACACAGTTTACTCAAACAGTTGCAAAACACTGAAGCAATTCAAGTATGAGTAGAAGCATTGGAGAAGCGGGTAGGCAGCTATCTCATGAGGAGGGCTGGGGTTCCCATAAAAACCCAACAAGCTGATGCCAAGGGAAGGAGGAAGGAAAGAAAAAGGGAAAATCCCTTTGACAGATTATCTTTGATTCTGCAGTCAGCAAATAGAAATAGGAATAACAAGACGAGGAAATAAAATCTTCTATGTTAGCATTTGTTACAACTGATGTCAGTTTTGGGAAGTGTATTTAAATGCGGATGAGCAGGGTCCTCTGGTAGATGACTCTAAATGCCAGTTTTGGCTGGGTCTCAGCTGCAGCTCATGACTCTTTCTCTGACAGACACAAAACAAAGGGGAATTCCACCACAGCAGTGTTGTGCTGAGAAAGAGTTTGTTCTGCTTTATTACCTGTTGAAAAACTGGTCTGGGATTTCCAGCTAGGAACCAGTTCCCAGGTCTGAGCATCTCTTGCGGTTGGTATGTGCAGCCCTCTTTGCTGCAGAGCTGGTCTTTGTGTTTGTAGCTAAATATGTGATATTTTAAGAAGGCTGTTTTGGGTCACGGCACTCCAGAGGGAATAAACTGTAGAGGCAGAGCAGGTCAGAGTGGCTGGGATGGCACTGCTGACCACCACAGCACTCCTACTGTGAGACCTGAGGGAAAGATGTACTCGTGGGCCTTGAGAGTGGCCTTGGAGAAGGCAGAGAAGGGTTTAGCTAGTCCCATGACCACAGCAACTGGCTATTAGCCAGCTTATTTCCAATGTTCTTTCCAACTCGAAGGGAGTGGAAATCCCCAATCCTTTGTTTATTATCAGCTTCCCCATCCGTAAGATTTCCGAGAAGTAATGTTAAAATAACAATGTTCTTGGGCAAATTTTCCATACACAGGTAACATATCTCAGCTGCTAAACAAATGAACAATGAAAGCAAACCCAGGGGAGCAGCTCGCTGCTCCTTTAACCATTGCTAGGACCGTGCAGTGGCTCCAAGCCACAGTCGCACTGCCAGAGGCAGAATGACACCCAGGGCACGTACACCAGCAAGGGCAATCTGTGAAGAACGGGATGGGCAGAACTCATCAGTCCAGCCACAAAGAATATTGTGCACTGCTATCCCCAAATGTCCTCAGTGCACTTCTTAAGCATCCTTTGGACACTGACAGCAGCCAAAGACAAAAAGCAGAAGTGACAGAAGCTGATATGCTTTTCCCCCACAGCATTCCTTAAAGGAGGCTATGGGAAAAATAGGCTGGGAAACTGTATCAGTGCATGTACTGATAGAATGAGGGGTAGTGGTTTTAAACTAAAACAGGAGAGATTTAGATTAGATGTCAGGAATACATTTTCCACCAAGGGCAGTGAGGCACTGGCACAGCTGCCCACAGAAGCTGTGGTGCCCCATCCCTGGAGGCACTCAAGGCCAGGCTGGATGTGGTCCTGGGCAGCTGAGCTGGTGGGGGGCAGCCCTGCCCATGGCAGGGGGTAGGGCTGGGTAAGCTGTGAGGTCCTTCCAACCCAAATCACTCTGTGATTCTATGATTTTATGATTTTTGGCATTGTTCTGAGAAGGTCCCCATCACTGCCCAAACCTCACCTTTGGACACCATCATTTATGGCACCCTTTTTCTTCCTCTGAGGGTTGCACCTCCCCCACAGTGGCTCAGGGCAGAGGTAGGCAAGAGAAGAGGTAGGTTTTAGAGAGCACTTGAAGTAGTGGGGAAAACAGAGAAGCAGCTGAGGAATGGTGGGAGGGGCAGGCAAGAAGCTTGTCCTACAGAGGTCCAGCACACAGAAAACAGCCCCAACCCTCTGCCTTTGGGCAGTATGGACACAGCGCAGGATGCTGGGATAAGTCCCAACAAACACCTGAAGCTGAGTCTTCAGCTTAGCCCTCACCTGAGTACAAAATACAAGAAGCACATAGAGAAAAATAAGGATTTTTTTTCCTTTTTGAAATGTAGGAAATGCCACTCCCAAAAGCAAACTTACCACCATGCCAATGTCAGTAGTGCAACAGGTTCTGTTTACGTTAGAAAATTGCTCCCAAAACCACAGCCCAGTACATTTCGACACAGTGTTGGATTGCCACTGAACAGAAGGTAGCTCACCCTATAAATTAAGCTCCCCAAAACCTCAGCGACGTGGCAGAAGCTGGGCTGACGACAAGTAGGTAAGATGCTCCTCAGGGTGGGGGGTCTTCTCATCCCTTTCAGCAATGCCACCCTCCTCAGAAGATTTCTGCTGAGATATTTGAGATTAGTGCTTGCATAAGGACACAAAAATTTGTCTTTTAGTTTTGGACTCAGCTCACCTGAGTTTAGATAGCTCAGATCTCTGTGTGAGCCCATCTCCCCTGGCTTCCTTAACAGCTGACCAGAGTATGGTTCACCCTGAAGCAGCCATCCACAATAACTAAGACAAAGTGCAGTTTGCAAGTGCCTGTTTTCTGAGTATAAAGCCTTAGATTCAGGCAAAGCTACCTCAGTGTGGTGAAGGTGCTTGTATAGAGACTATGGGCACAGGATGAGGGCATTTGGAGTGGAAGCACAACAGCAAAGAGCACTGAGCATCATTCATTTTATTCTTTATTTGATTTTTCATCAACTAAATATTGGAGCTGGAGGTTGGTTACTAAGATGTTGCTGAAGATGTGGGCTGGAAGCATTGCAGCTTGGTTTGTGCCAGAAGAGAGACGTGACTGCACTTCTATATCACTTTGTGTATCCAACCGAGAGACATAAGCCATCAATTCAGAAATGATTTATTTGTGTTAAATCAGCGAGCACTGAGACAGGATCATTCCTTCACGTTTGCTGATTGATTTTCCAGATTGTTTTGCGTGCTCGGAAGAACGACCCCATGCACCTGGTGCTCAC